GGTGAAGTTTCCTCGCCAAAAGGCTCCCAAGCCTTGTTCGGCGTACACTCGAGAGAAGGCATTACCGATACCAGTGTAACGTGGTACCTCTCCGCTGATGATTCGTGGGTTAGAATCCTGTGTCTGGATAATCAACTTAACACGCTCGATCGGAGCAGTGCAAGTCTTAGCGATAGCACCGGATACACCACCAATGGCGAAATCCTTTAAGAAACCTATAGGGTCTGCAGTCGTTGTGGCGGACATATCTGCAGCTGTTGTTGTACTAGAAAATGATTTTCATGTCAAAAGAAAACTCAGTATATATACTTTCTCCATGCACAAATATTAAAATTTAAAACTCCAGTCAGTCAATTTGAACTGAGGACTTCCTTCACTCTCTTGCTTCTCACGCCTCTCATCACACACGATGAATCCATGGTGTATGATATTCCCGTGTGGCCGTGTGCCTACCTGCCTGGGCCCTGGTGCCATGTACAATCGTACATCATGCCCGAGCCCCAGGGCCGCGTGGAGTTGTGGACTGTGGACTGTGGACTGCGGAGTGCGTAGTGTGGAGTGTGGAGTCTGGAGTCTGGAGTCTGGAGTCTGGAATGTGGAGTGTGGTCTGGCTGCTCCTCGTTAGCCTCTGACAGGCTGTTCGAGAGTTCTCAATTTAACATTTGGGCTCACTAGAGTTACTACTACTAGCTACCCAGTCCCCAGTACCAACACGAGTTTCGGACTTTGGGTGTAGTGTGTAGTGTGTAGAACTGTAGACTGTAGAGTGTAGTGTAGACTCTCTACCGTAGAGAGAGTAGAGACTAGTAGAGAGTACAGACTGCTAAATAAATATAAAATTGTGCTTTACAATAGTAAAATTCTCTTCATTTTTTTATAGAAAAACAAAGTTTAAACACAGAGAATGGAACACTTTACTCACTATATGTACTCGTTATGTCATGGCGCCACAGGCCTACATTCTACAACGAGTCCTACAGTCACGTCTAGTACTACAGTGAGGCTACGAGCGACGAGTACAATTGCCCCTCTGACCTATAGACGCTACATTCACCCCCTCTACCTAAGTCCTAAGGTCCTAAATCCTAACTCATAGCCCTAATTTACTTTGCCTTTTTTTTTAAAGGGCCTCTCGCTTGTGTTGTGACTTGTGTCACCTGTCAACTGTCTGTGTGAGGGTCTTCGACCCTTCAGACTTGTCTCAGAGTCTCAGACCTCCCTCGTAGACCTTATTCTCTCTACTCTAAAGAGTAAACGCTCAGAGTGACTGAGTATCTACTCTAAAGAGTAAAGTGAGACTGGGGTGGCATTCAGCTAAATATAATTCCGAATCACTGGCTGACTGCATGAACGGTGACGAAAAGGCGAGAGTCCGTGTGTCCGGACTCCGCGACTTCTGAAGAGATCAGATTTTTAATTTTTTTGTTGACAAACCAAATTTAGTTGTTCTTATCATAATGAACTAAATTTTTACAACTTTTCATGACTTCATCAGACATCAACTATCAGGTATTCGGCATGTGTAAATTATCCTGTGTTGACTGTTGTACTGTCCATCTGGTACAGTGTTGTATTCAAAGTTATTACTGTACTATTGTCCGTATGTCTGTATATAATTTAGAAACGGGTTCTTAGAGACAAAATATAATGTTGACCCATGCACTTTCAATACATACCAGACAGGTGGGTTTTTAGAAACAAAATATAATGTTGACTCGTGCACTTTTCAATACCCGACACGGCTGGACGCTGGTATCATTTGAAATATTTATGTATCGCAATTTGCCTAAAACCCTGAATCCCTAAAAACCCTAAAACCCTAAAACCACAACAAGTGAAGTTCTATACAATTCGTCAATTCGACTAGATAATTAGTAAATTTGTTTCAATTTTGACCGGCTTGGACTCCCCTGGGAGCAGTTTATAAAAAATCTCTAAACTCGTGTCTGTCTGACTGTCGGTGTATAATTTTACCTGAGCAGGTAAACGACATGTCTTTTGCCGATGGCGACACGTCGCGACGGTCGTTTACTTTTTTTTAGGCGACCATGGGGGTCGCGACATGTCTTTTGGCCGACTCAAGTTTGAAGAAATTAGACCCTCTGAATGCTCAATGTCTGAAAATTTCGCCAATCATCACAGGACTTACCTATTGGTGAGCATGTATATGAATCTAAACGACATACGACATGTTTCAGGCGACTCGTCGCGACGGTCGTTTACATGATTTTTCACTCATTCAGGAATCAGACGACATGTCGCGAGTCGCGATCTCCCGCCATACCAGCCCAGAATTTCTGAATTTTACTGTGGGTTGTGGTCTTGTGGAGTGAGTGCCTGAGTGGACTCACTCTCTTTAGTACGGGACTGTGGAGTTGTGGACTATGAATGCCTTAACAGTTATACATCACTTGTGTCATTGATGAAAAAAATGAAAAATTTCAACAATGAGTTGCTTCACTCACAGTCACAAGTCACAACTCTCTTGTGGTGTGTGTGAGGTGTGACAATGCAAATGATTTGTCAAAACATCTCGACATCTACACGATCAACTAGTCTGTACTCTGTCCTTTCAATGACTTTAAAGTTTAGATCACATAAAGACTTGTGAATGTAACATGGATTATTTTGCTCCTTTCAAAACATCCTATATCACAAATTGTGCTCGTACTTTCTAATTTATAACCGTATGTATTTTTTTTTGCATGCACCGTAAACCAAAATGCGCAAGCCACTGGTTGAGAAACTCTCTTCGATTCCGGGAATGTAACAAGAGACTTAACATGCGTAGCTTTGTCAAATAATAACGAAAATAAACCACGATACCCTCCACGTATATATTATTTTTAGGTTGTTTAATATCTATTAAACTCGAAGATTTGTACAACAACGACTGCTCAAAAATTTGAAGTATCTACTCCATGAGAAGCTTAATCTGATCGTACAGCACAAGCACCATAGCAGAACCTACAGTCCGCAAGGCATTGGCACCAGCTCCCTTAAAAAGAGCGGCGGCACCCTCGTTCATGATGACCTTACCGAAGCAGTCAATAGTTCCCCTGTACATCCACTCGACCTTGGGCTTATCTGGCTGCATCTGCAGACGACGTCTGACAGTTTTAGGGTTTAAACACCGAACTTGGAAACAACTCCAGTAACTCCACGATCCTTCTTGTAAGGGTTCAACTCCTTGAAGGTATCATAAAGCCCGAAGTATACACCACGATATGGGATGATACCCATAACGGACACCCCGAAACCATTGTAAAGTCCACGGACTCCACTGGTCTGTACGGTCTTCCTCAAGCAGTCGCCTAGACCGTTGAAGGTACGCTTACCAGAACCAACGTCGGAAGCTAGACGCGTACGCGCGTAGTCCAAGGGGTACACAATGGTTAGAGAGCCCGCACCAGCTAAACCCCCTGAGGCCATGTTGATTCCAAGATTGGTCAAGAAAGGTGTATCCTTGTTAGTCTTGGGGAATAATGTTTTGATAGAATCCTTGAAGGCAAAGTTAAAGGCCTGTGTGGGGAAGTATCTCAACACATTGGTGAAGTTTCCTCGCCAGAAGGCTCCCAAGCCTTGCTCGGCGTACACTCGAGAGAAGGCATTACCGATACCAGTGTAACGTGGTACCTCTCCGTTGATGATTCGTGGGTTAGAATCCTGTGTCTGGATAATCAACTTAACACGCTCAATGGGTGCAGTGCAAGTCTTAGCGATAGCACCGGACACACCACCAATGGCGAAATCCTTTGCGAAGGCAATAGGGTCTGCTGTGGCTGCGGAGGTCATGTCGAAAAGGTAGTGTATGATGGAATTGGACATACCGCTATGTCTTATATATATACTAGAATTTTATTGTCCTTTCAATTGCTTCAGTGCTTGTTTACCCCTGTGTCGCAATGCCGCCACACCACCAATGCGCATACGGTGTACACAAACAAGCACACGCACACACGGTGTACGCAATAAAAAAAACTTACACGCATTGTACACAAACAAATTATAAATTAAATTAAATGCATACAAACACACGCACACTGAGGTATATATCATGGGTGCAATTGACAGGCCATGGCACCAGGTAACATTCGTACTCACACAGGTGAAAGTCAAAAAGTCAATGGTGAGTCATCAAAACAGTTCGAGAATTATAATTGCCGGCCAGCTATTTTTTTGTTGTGATTTGTAGGAGTCGGCAACTCCTAATCGGAAAATTCAGGATTCGCGGGGGAATCCAAATTTTGGATTATTTTTGGGTCTGGGACCATTCTCGAAATTTCAGAGCACAATGTCGAAAAATTGTGGCCAATGAATTTTGATGAGTCATCCTCACTTGACCCTTGCGAAACGACTCAACGTAGAATTAATGGGAAATCGCGAATAGGTTAGAGCTTAAAGTTCGTAGACATTACGTAGACATTTAGGCTTAGTTGTAGACCTTTAGACCGCTACGGGTCTGTCGGGAATTGTATAAATAGGGTAGTGTAGTATCTTGCAATCCTCAGACTTCAACACAAATAATTAAGAAAGAATAGAGGAGGATTGCCAAGACTACTTGAATCGTAGGCTTTGACTTGTGCCGAGCCAAGTATCAATAAAGGGTACTACCGAACATTTTTGCCCAAGTCTTTTGTTGTTGGGTAGTTATACTGGAATTGATCTATTGAAATTTCATTAGACATAGTCACTAAGAGATTGGGGAGACGCAGTAAAGTTCAGAAGAGCAGAAATCCACTTATTGGACTCTTCTTTACGTAGGTAATTTTTTGTCGTAGGCCTTATTTCCGTGTATCGCACCCCTTAGAAGTACTCTGAGGCAAATACTATCGAAATTACAATAGTTCGTTTCATTATGGCTAATGCAAAGCAGCAGTGGGTTGCAACGATGGAGGCAAAGATCCAACAGATGTAGGCTGCATTAACGCAGCTTCAGCTGCAATTGACCGAAGAAAGAAATAGACCTCGTGGGGTTAGAACCAATTTCAAACTGAACAAGCCAGACGTGTATGATGGGAAGGCGCCGATGTGTCTTGCGTTCGCGAATGACTATACTGAATGGAACAGATGTTTGCAGCGGAATGGGTTGCAGCCGGACGTGATGTCGAAGAAGCCGTGAAGTTACAATATGCTAGTACGTTTCTTAGTGGCCGTGCATTGACATGGTATCGTGAGACTGCCGGGCGGTTTAACACTTGGGCGAAGGATGGAAGGTGCTACAGTGTTTACAACTATAGACCTTACACTAGGATACCATCAAATGCAGGTATATGAACCCCACCGTGAATACTTTAGCTTTACGTGGAAAGGCAAACAATACCGGTTCAGAGGTGCACCTTTCGGGTTACACTCTTTACCAGCATTCTTCCAACAAGTAATAGAGAAAAAAAATTGCAGACATGCTTAACGTGCAAGTCTATATAGATGACATAGTCATCTTTTCTAAGACTACAGGTGAACACGCCGCATTAGTCAGACGAGTCCTTAAGAGACTCAATGAGCAAAACTTCAAGTTTAACGAGAAGAAATGCCACTTCGCAGTGAGCGAAATACAGCTCTTAGGCTACCATATATCTGGGGAAGGTATTAAGATCAACCCCGGTAAGGTAGAACACCTGTTAGATTGGCGAACACCAACTAATGGAAGAGATGTTAACAGCATGTGTGGGTTTGTAAACTTCTTTTCAGATGGAGTACCACACTTAGCTGATTACCTTAAACCTTTTGGACACTTAAGATGTCATAAAGGCAAACTAGGAGACTTATGGACTAAAGAGTGTGATGACACATTTAAAACGCTCAAACACGCAGTCCAACAAGCCCCAGTTGTACAAGGGCCAGTCGATGGCGTGCCGTTTGAAATAGGGATAAAATTATTTAGTTCAAAAATGGCAAGTATGTATGATACTATGTATGAACATATGGTATGGCTCTCATAGTCGCTGTAGTGGTTCAGGAAAGATTGATGGGAGGAAGTGGTCAGTAAATTCCCGTTTGAAGCTTGGGCCAAGTGAGTCGACAATGGAAGATATGTGCTGAGTCAATTGGGGCCGGTGTTGACAAAACACTGTAACTATCGAATGTTCCATATATTCGCTTGCTGACCTACTAAGTAGAGTACCCACCTCTGTGGTACAGATCGGGTCTGCGCCGTGTAGTGCCGCGGAATGGGTTAGCAACGGACGCATCAGACTTAGCCTTAGGAGGAGTATTATATCAGGTTATAGATAACAAACCTAGATTTGTGTAATCCCAGGTGGTTTGAACTGGATTAGGGATTCCACTCTCTACCCAATTGAACGTTAAGCAGTTCAAAGGCAACACAGCATTTAACGTCTGTGCACAAGAAGAACAATCTACTATAATCCCAGCTGGTTTGAACTGGCTCAAAAGATATATGGGCCACGCACCATAGATATGTTTGCTGTTCATCATAATGCACAACTATCGAATTACAGGACTTTAAATCATCCTATGGGAGACGCCTTCCAAATAGACCTCTCCCAACATAATGCGTGGGCTAATCCACCATGGCAGCTAATTGCCCAGCTATTAAATTATGTTCATATACATAAAACTACCATCACGTTGTGTTGCCCATTACGGAGTAAATATACATGGCTCAATAAATTAATAAGCATGATACAATGCGAGCAAATATATTTAAATAGGGAAGTAGATACTTTCCTATATCAGGGTACCCGAGCCGTCCAGAAGACGCCCTG